GCTTGACGCACCCCAGGACATGGTTGGCCCTTTTGGCTGCCAGGACACACAGTTGACTCACATTCAAGTTGCCATCAACCCAAACCCCCAGATCTCTTTCCGTGGGGCTGCTCTCCAGCCTCTCATCCCCCAGTTTGTACGTATAACCAGCATTACCCCGGCCCGGGTGCCGAATCCAGCACTTGCTTGTTAAATTTCATACGGTTGGTGGTTGCCCAGCTCTCCAGTCTATCCAGATCTCTCTGTGAGGCCTCTCTACCTTTGAGGGAGTCCACAGCTCCTCCTAATTTAGTATCATCGGCAAACTTACTTAATGTATATTCAATTCCTGCATTCAGATAATTTATAAAAACATTAAAGCCCTAAAACTGAGCCCCAGGGAACCCCACTGGTGACTGGCCGCCAGCATGATGTAACCCCATTTACTATCACTTTTGAATCTGCCCCATCAGCCAATTGCTCACCCAGCGTATTATGTGCTTGTCTAGCTCTGTGCTGGACATTTTGTCCAGCAGGATACTGTGAAAGACAGTATCAAAAGCTTTGCTAAAATCCAAAAAACCCCACATCTACTGGCCTTCCTTGGTCAAGTAGATGGGTGACCTTGTCATAAAAAGAAATTAAGTTTGTTAAACTTTTCCCTTGTGAACCCGTGTTGGCTATGACCAACGACTGCGCTGTCTCTCAGGTGTTTTTCAGTAACTCCCAGAATGACCTTCTCCATAATGTCACCAGGCACTGAAGTAAGACTGACAGGCCTGTAATTACCAAGGTCTTCCTTCTTACCCTTCTTGAAAACTGGGACAACATTTGCCAGCTTACAGTCAACTGGGACCTCTCCAGACTGCCATGATGGTTGAAAAATAAGAGAGGTCCTGTGATAAGATCAGCCAGCTCTTTCAGTACCCTGGGATGAATCCCATCGGGTCCTGTAGATTTATGCACATCCAGCGGGAGCAGCAAGTCTGGAACAAGTTCAGAGTCAGCTGTGAGTTTATCATCCCCCCAGTCACGATCTTCCAGCACAGGACTCCGGGGCTCCCAGGGCCCATCATTGGTGTTAAAGACAGAGGTGAAGGAGGCATTAAATGTCTCTGCATTTTTATGTCCCTATTTGTGAGGTGACTGACCTCATCAAGCAATGGCCCAATGTTATCTCTGATCCTCCTTTTGCTGTTAATGTATTTTAAAAAGCCCTTTTTGTTGCCCTTCACAGTGCTGGCCAGCTTGAACTCTAGTCAAGCTTTGGCTGCACAAAATTTTCTCCCTACAGCGGCAACAGCATCTCTGTAGTCCTCCCACAATGCTTCTCCTTGCTTCCAATGTCCATACAGCCTTCATTTTTGAAGTCCAGTATATTCTCTACCTAATTTCACAATGCAAAGTAAGTATGTTTCAGTCCCCAAATATGTAGGCAATGCTATACTGTTAGCAGTAGGAGATTAAGATAAAACCATTAATGCATCCCAGCTGGGTCTTCTCCTGGCAAAGTAATTTTAAAGCTATAGCTAAGAATAAATACACAAAATGTATATGGAAAGTATCCTAAGGAAAGGCTCTAAAAAGGTAAAGGCTTCAGACTTGTAAAGGCTGTAAATAATCTCACAGGAGTCACTTGCAGAAGGTACCATAACAATAAAGAGACCTTAATAAATGGTCTTGAAACCATTTCATCTGCAGGATAAACCTCTCTGAAGTGTTCAATTAGAAAGCACATAGCTAAGATAAAGTAGAATGTGGCATATACATTTTTATTTACTACCACTATTAATTCTCCACTTTTAGGAGATATTGTTAGCTGTTCCTTTATAATTCTTTGAACTGCATTTGACTGTCAGGCTGTGATCTGCACTTGTGCGCCTATCTGATATCTCATCTTTAGGCAAATTTAAACAAAACAGCTATAGAATTTTCCATACTTACATATGGCTCCCCACTGCTTCATTTAGTATGAGGGAAAAAAAGGAAAACCCACCATCTCTCTCATTTTGTGCTATGTCATTTTGTGCTACAACTGAACTAACAAACTCCCTTTAATTGTCACCTGTTCCAAAAACCTGCATGGGTGCCTGCACCAGTTTTGTTTTGCTGCCGAGTCCTGCAGGGCCAACACGTGCAACTGAGCATAAACCTATCCTGACCGAGACGTGCGGTATCCGTACTGTACCATTCACAGTTCCCAGCTGTCAAAGCACAGCACATCCTCCATTATTGGCCAGGCACAGAGCTATCTATGTCAGGCAGTACTTAACCACCTCAGGCTTTGTCCTCAGCAAAGTGGCCACACTACAGACAGCTAAATCTGTCTTTTGATGCAGTTTTGTAACGCTCAATGGAGAGCTGTGCTTGAGCTAACTAACATCAGTGGGCTGCAATAACCCACAGCGGGATAAGTGAGTGCTGACAGTACACATCACTCAGGCGTAATTACATTCTGCTCAAGATCACTTGATAACACTTCCAAATCTACTGCTCAGTTCAAAAAAACAGATTTTTTTTTTTTTTTTCTTCATTTGGCTGTTACCTCCCTCAAGGAGTGCATATCCCTTGCTTCTAATCAAACAGATGCAAACAGCCCAGTCAATGGTACAAAGCCAGGCAAAAAATACAGTCTTTCATCGAGCTACATTTTGCTTGGGAAGCAGCAATCAGACAGCAACCACAGGACCTGGCCCTGCCCCATTTTCTTCTCTTGAGAGAAGCGTCAGTTATATGCTGGCTGAGTGTGTGGGCTAAATGGGTGTCTCCTCTTAACCTTTCCCTCCTGTGCTATGGCCTGCTCTGCCTGTGGAGCTGACTGTGTCAGCAGTTTGACCCTTTCCTGGTCAATGAAGGGTTTATGTATCGTAGCATATATTCCTTCCCATTGCTACAGAATTGAAGGAAAACAATCCTTTATGGTATGTGTCACTGGGTGAGTAAAACAGAAGGTGAGGTCAGTCACTGGAACAGGCTTCCCAGGGCACTGGTCATGGCACCAAACCCGCCAGAGTTCAAGGAGCTCTTAGTCATATGGTTTGGTTTTAGGTAGTCCTGCGAGGAGCAGGGAGCTGGGCTCGGTGATCCTTGCGGGTCCCTTGCAACTTGAGATATTCTATGACTCTATGATAAGTACAGTGGTGTATGACAAGTAGGTCACAAGTCATGCTGTCTTTCTGGCACAGTATGCACAAATCGCCTGTTTTTTCCCATCAATAAATTACTTAAGACATTTAGAACAGATGCAAAACATTTCTATTTTCCAGATTAATGTGAAATCTTACTCCTTGTTTTTAATAACATGGGAGGGAGAGGAAGCAGAACAACAGAAACACTTAAGCAAAACCAATGTATTTTATTTCTATCAAGTTAGTATTTAATTTTTACAAAGTCGCACAAAACAACTTCAGAGGACTGCACCTTTTACAGTTTCCCGTGAGTTATGATGGCTACTGAAAATATAAAACACATTTTAAACTTGTTTCAACCTGAAGCTCTTGTAGTTAATAGTGTTTGTAAACTTCAGCCTCTGCTGTAACTGAACACCAGTCACAAGCATCAAAAAGTTATAGGTACTTTCCATATTAAGTTAGTAATGCCAGATAAATTATCATGCAACAGTACAGCACTGCAAAAATATCTCAATAAATTTTGATTAGAAAGATCGTATCTGAAATTTAAAACAGTGCTTGTACATAAAAGCCTATAAACAAAAAGCTGTCAGCAAAATCAGTAAATGGTTGAATTATGTCAACAGTTGTATTAAGTAATATTTAGTAGACGAATATACCATATGAAAATAACTTCAGAAAGGTTATAGTGGATATATTCACTGAATACTTTTGTACTACAGCATTTATACTATGAATGGAACTGTTTATGGCAGGGGCATTTTCTTTGGTACAATGCATTTAAAATGAAAGCAAGTTGGCCACATGTATATAAGGCAAGTACGTATCAAAGCAGGCTCGTAACAGAAAGTCCGTGATAGCAACGACAGTAATTGCCGCACCATATGTGTACAGATCATACTTAAAAATTCTTCTTATGCAGCAACAAGAGATATTTTCCAAATCCTTTAGTAAGAAACTGCAACTCCTACACCTCCACTGTGAATCATTGCTTCCTCAAGAGAAATTGTCAATATTGTTTCTTCTATCATCAGTATTACGTAAAGCTGGAACTGAAAAACAAAAGCAAGCATATAAACCATAACATACCCTGAAGAAATAAAGCTAAAACAGACAAAACAAATCTAAACATTTTCTGAAGTTGAGAGTTACTCATGTTAGTGCAGATAACGACTTCTGTTACCAAGAATTCCACTTTCATATATAATTCCAGAAAAAGGAGTCTAGGAAAAGGAACTCGGTAACATTACTTGAAATGCAACAAATTTTGGCAAAAACACAAGCAGGCTGCTAGCATAGACCCCCAAAATGTCAAGGCTGTCCTGATGATATTTGTGGAAATATGTGCACCCATCTAGCTTCTAGAGTTTTTCATAATCTAGCAGTTATGAATAATTTCTGTACAAAAAGATCTGCTTTCAATTGCAGTAAGATATTAAACAACAGAAGGTTATCTGCAGTAAAGTTGTAACCTATCAGGAAAGGAAATTAATAAATTAATTGACTTCTGGTTTTGGAGGAGAAAAAATTTAATTCCATTTAATTTAAAGTTTATATATGAACATTTAATTCAATGTTTACATATGAAGAAGTTATGTTAGGGCACGTTATTCTAGAGACTACTTTTGAATACATTTCTGAAATTTCACAATTTATTCGAGCTTTTCTTCTGGGAGTGGAGAAGGAAAGAAGTGGGTGGGAGGGAAGGAAGTGAAATGTTTATCAGGTCATATTCTGCACTCGGTGTAATTTTACAGCCAGTTTTGTCAATCTCTCCTCTCAAAAATCTGTACTAGGAAGACACATCTAGTATTATGGGACAGCAGCAGTCAGACTGCTTCATAAAACTAACATATCCTACATTCAAAACCTGAGTGCTGCAATCAAATACTATTTCTGGAATTCCCTGGGTGAATTTCTCTCCCTCTCTAACTTCTCCCTCTCCCTCTCGCTCTGTTCGTGAACATTCACAATTTCTTCATCTCTGACATCAAAGCACAGGAGTTCAAGTCGAAAACCTTGTTTCCTTCATGGGGAAAAAAAAAAGAAAAAAAAAGAAAGAATGCTCATAGAACATACAGCAATTACTCTAAAAGTAAATTCTAGAGCCAGTGATCCAAGCATGAAGGGATTTTACACACTTCTGTCTTCTTATCACATAACAGAATAGGAGCATGTTTGTATCTTTTCTAAAAGATTATTAAAATTTGCATTATAAGTGATATGCAAAGGATTTTTTTATTGCTGCCTCTGATGACTAGCATCAGCACTTACTTTTTGCGGTCCTTGTCTCTCTTACTAACTACAGGGGTAGAAACAGATGCTTGTGATTGGAGTAATTCAGCATTAGCTTTCTTCTCAATAAACATAGCTATTTCATCTTCTAGAACTTTCTTTTTTTCCTCTAATTTCATTTTCACTTCTCGATGCATTAGCATACGATGTTCAAATTTAGTCTGTACCTGTTTAAAGAAAGCACAAATATATATATATTTCTAACTAGCAACACAAGGTGGTGATATCACAATACAAAACCACTCTGCAATTAAACAGTAAAACCTACCTCAACTCATATTAAAAGTCGTAAGACATTGCAGTTCTTTCCCAAAACTGGTTAGACTAAAAAACAGCAATCCAAAAACCCAGTAGTTCATATCAGATTGTTCTCATGGAAGCCAGGCTACTGCACACTAAGTACAGGTGGAAACCATGGAAGGCACTAAGTGAATATTAGACTTCCTACTAGATTTTACTCTATCTTTATTATATCAAAAATAAGCAGGCCTTTAGAGAAGAAACAATTACCAACAGAAGGATTAAATCAGGATCTGTCAAGTAGAATCTACTTCCCTAAAACCAAGTGGGCGAGGAATCATACATACTTTAGTTACACAGGTATGTATTTTCATATATACATAAAATACATGTATGTATTAATCACAGAATCAGAGAATGGTTTGGGTTGGAAGGAACCTTAAAGATCATCTAGTTCCAACCCCCCTGCCATGGGCAGGGACAGTAAATGTACACACACAAGAAGTCTGGCTGGAGGAGTTACTTGTGGGCTTCCAGAAGTTAACTGCTTTTCTGCAGTAATTGTTCTTTGATTGTTCTTTTGACATATTAATGGATTTTACTCTCCAGATGCATTTTGACCGGTTTAAACCTACTGTGAAGTTGTGCATGATAACCAAAAGGTACTTCACTGCACCCTTCCTCACCTCCCATCTCCCCACACATAAACTCCTAGAATCCTGCTTCTGTACCAATCTGTATTGGTGTAACTCAATCTGAGCGCACCTATACCGGTACAGAAATCAGAGATTTATTTCCATCTTTTGCAAAGAAGGAACTAAGAAAAGAACTGAGATTATAAATGTAACAGTATGCCCGTTTTACACAGTAGAGCTGTCAGATTTTATAAATGTGTGTGTATGTACATATGTATGTATACTGTTCATTTATTTATTTCATTGCAACAGTTAACCAGATGCATTGCAAAAACAGGTGTACCAATAAAACATTTAGGGTAGTAGCAGTAAGGTCCTAAGCAACTGTATGTCTCAGGAGTGGTAATGCTGCACATTGCACCTACAAGTTTCCTCTAAATGAAGAATGTGAAAGCAATCTTAAGTACAACAGAAATTCCTGTTTTTCTTTAGTTTCCAGATACACATACACACTTCTCAGAGAATGAGCAGCAAGAGTATATGACAAATGTTCTTTAGGAGTGACTGCATGATCACTTTCCCACCATCAGGAGCTGGGAAAACTAATATCCATAATTCAGTTGCAATATGCAGAGTTCACAAACCACCTAGTATAAATCATACAAGTAAAACATCAAAGGGTACCACAGATACTGTGTGAGACCTAGCTGAACCTACTTTGAACATGGCTAAGTATTCTTCCAATTGGATAGCCTCATACTGAGAAGGACTGAACCTGATTTTTTTCTCCACAAGTAGCATGGGGCACTTAACAGATTTAGAAAACAAGTATTGAGCCACCTTCTTATTTAAAATATGCATCTGAACACTTCACAAAAACTGCTACATCTTTGCTGGGAGACTGAGGTACAGAAAAGAACATTAATAAATATACACAGGTTTCCAATTTCAATTAAACCAGTGTTTGAACATAAATACGCATGACCATGATAGAGTCTGGCAGAAAGTAGAGGAGAAGATCCTGTTTTGCCAGTCCACCTTGACAGGACTAAGTCTTCAACAACATATTCAAGGAATGTTCCACATCTCCAAATATTCTTAAGGCAGCTGGTAATAGATGAGATTTTAACAACAAAACAAAAACAACAAAAATCTACCACCCCCCTGCTTCCAAACCTCTCAACATGAAGGTTGAGCTTGTATTTAATAAATGAACCTGGAGGTCATGCAAACATACATGCCCCACTCTCTTGGGCTGAAAAATAACCCATGGGATTTTTTCCTGAAATCTTGTTTTTTACAGAACAACCTAGCACCTACTGTGCTGCTATGGCATACTGACGTTTCTCAGCATACTGCTAGAGAAGACAAAGAAACATGCAACCATTATATTCATCACTCTCTTACTTCACCATATCACCTCCTACTCTATTGACTTGTCCCAGCTATCCATCAAAGCCTTTAGTCTTAAGCTCCCTCCTTTCCAAAAAAACCTGCCATTTATAGCATCATAGAATCATTTAGGTTGGAAAAGACCCTTAAGATCATCGAGTCCAACTGTTAACCTAACACTGCCAAATCCACCACTAAACCGTGTCCCCAGGCACCTCATCTACACGTCTTTTAAATACCTCCAGGGATGGGGACTCAACAACTGCCCTGGGCAGCCTGGTCCAATGCCTGACAACCCTTTCGGTGAAGAAATTTTTCCTAATATCCAATCTACACCTCCCCTGGAGCAACTTGAGGCCGTTTTTTCTCGTCCTATCGCTAACTACTTGGGAGAAGAGACTGACACCCACCTCGCTACAACCTCCTTTCAGGTAGTTGTAGAGAGCGATAAGGTCTCCCCTCAGCCTTCTTTTTTCCAGGCTAAACAACCCTAGTTCCCTCAGCCGCTCCTCTTAAGACTTGTTCTTGTTGCTTGTGTCTAATCAGTCTGCTAATCCAATCAATCTGTGTAATCAATCTGCTTTTGACTTTAAGCATTACCGCCCTCAAATCTTAGGAAATTATAAATATCAACTAGTTGTGATTTTGCTAAGAACTTAACTGTTCCAAAAACTCAGCAAACAAACTCAAGACAGACAGGCATGCTTACCTGTTGCTCTGCTTCTTTCAATATTGCTTCTTTCTCCTTCACTCTCTGCACAAACTGTTGTCTCATCTCCTCCTCTTTTCTTTGCAGTTCAAGGTAGAACTCATGCCTCTTTGCCTCATAGGCTTCCTGTAGACTGAAGTCCAAAAATGTAAGCAAGTCTCCAGCACGCTGCTTTATTCAATGTGGAAAACCAACAATCTGCAACATTATTTAAACAATTAATATTAATCTGAAATATTAATTTCTACAGCTTCCCACATAAAAATTCATTAACAAACCTAAATAGAAGCAAGCATCTTACTTTTCTAAATTTTTAAGAAAACAACCCTGAGTAGAATTATTTACGCTAACAGCTCCTGGGCAATTCACATTTCAAAGTAAATAGAGCATTTTAGGAATCTCATGTTCTAAAAGACTTGAGTTGTAACTTTCTGCCTCCAACATGCAGAACCTTTTTCTTTAAGTTACTTACTAATAAAACACCAAAATTGCCAGAAATATTAAAAAAAAAATTCCACATTTATTTTATTCTATCTTATTTGAGCAATACATTGCAACACAACAAATTTGGAAGAACAATTTTTTTTTTTTTTAATTGGTTGTGAAGTAACGTAGGTCATCCTGAAATGGTATCTACCACATGAAACAAGGGCATGGTTTTCACACAGGTATATTAATTCATACTATCTTTAAATTTAGACAGCATATGTAATAACAATAAAGCTACAGCACAGGTTTTTCAAGTGCTAACAGTCTCCCTATACACACTTTTGGGCCTTGTGTCAGTTCTGCTAGCTAACATGCTGCCTTTGGGTGCAATAAAGCCACTAAGCTAAAATACTGCTATCACACCTTCATTTCATTATGTGGACGTCTTTAGACTCAACCTAGGCTAGTTTATCAGATAAAAGCAATTCTGTCTTGAAATTAGTAAAAGGTTAAGTTTGAAGACACTAGATTTACTAAGTAATCAAATTACATGTATAAAGAAGAGGAGAAATAAAAGTGCATTTTTTTCAAATCTCCCTCCCCCTGGACTGAATTGTTCTGGAAATCACAAAGATAAAATGAAACCAACTTTCCTCTTCTGTGTTTGGCATATCAACAACATAATGACCCAAACAGTCATTGGTTTTAGGAGGTCTGAGGAGGGGAAAATAGTTCACCAGATCTTAAGCCAACTCTTTCAACATTACTGCATCCATTGCTCACAGTAAAACACTTTTCCATTTACCTGAAGACTGGTTTCAATGCTTCTCATATAGCACATTATGAAAATCAAATTCACAGGTTCCCTCATTCTTCTGGGTTGGACCCCTAGAATTTTATACTCTGTACAAAACTACTTGCAAAATTAAGATGATAAAGATAATTATTTAAATAATGTATTCTTATTGAGGTTTTGGAGGAAAGGAAGGGATTGTGCAGAAAGTCTACACCTTACTAATCCACTACCTATCTCATAACAGCACTAGCACCTACCTTTCTACAGAAGCACAGCTGTGACATACAGTTTTTCTATCTGCGTAAGACTTAGAACATGGAAGCCTAAATATAAAGATGCAAATCAAACATGTTATGTTCATAAATAAAGACTGACTGAAGTGAATTCAACTCTCAGTGGAACACAATGTTTGTGCACTTTGAACAACAGATATTTACACAATATTTTACAGTTTGTTCTTTTACATTTAAAAAAAGCTTTCAAATTTGAAAACTAGACTTGTAACTTTTTGCATACCATTCAACTATCAATTAAATTATATTAGAAAAACTAAAAAAATTAAAAGTTAACTAGTGGCAGGTATCTTTAGCATGGTCCCTTGACTCAGTGAACTACCTAAGTTGATATTAAGCAACACGAAGGATGTGGTAGATCTAAATAATTACCATTTTCCCAGCGGAGGCATGAAAACCACATATTTTGGATGTGGTTCAGTCTTACCATAAGGAGGTTAAAATATTTAGCTCAAATACAAAGTTCTGCAGTTGGTCAGATGAACTCCATTCCCAAGTGACTTCTTAAGGAAGAAGTCTAACAGCCTTTCAGATACTAGGCTTCCTTTCTTAGAAAAGGCAAATAGGTCATATCAACCTTCCTCTACATGTGAACTTATTCATATTACTGAATCCTTCCTGGTTTCTGTCATCATCCTCAAAATAGACTGAAAAAGAAACACATTTTTGTTCGAGAACTGCAAGGTCTGAATATCCCAGTTTCAGGGAGGAATAAAGCATGGAATATATGATTGCTCACATATTGAGAAATTGAGATGTTTATGTTACAATTATGTTTAACTGCAATTATGATGAAGAACAAATTGTAATTATGAGCACAGAAAAACAACTAAACCAGAGAATGATTAACATGACTATCCAAATACGCAAGCATACAGCCTGAATATCAACCTTCGTCTTTTTCAACAGACCCTTGCCTATTAGTTTTCTTCTTTCAAAACAAGAGGAGGCGGCTGAGGGGAGACCTTATTGCTCTCTACAACTACCTGACAGGAGGTTGTAGTGAGGTGGGTGTTGGTCTCTTCTCCCAAGTAGTTAGCAATAGGATGAGAGGAAATGGGCTCAAGTTGCACCAGGGGAGGTTTAGATTGGATATTAGGAAAAATTTCTTCACAGAAAGGGTAGTCAAGCCTTGGAACAGGCTGCCCAGAGAGGTGGTGGAGTCACCATCCCTGGAAGCGTTCAAAAAACAGGTAGACGTGACACTCTGGGACATGGTTTAGTCTACCCTTAACTGGTTTAGTGTGGACTTGATAATGTTAGGTTAATGGTTGGACTGGATGATCTTAAAGGTCTTTTCCAACCTAAACGATTCTATGATTCTATGATAAGAATGTCCCCTTAAGCAACAACATAGCTTAGATTGGAAAATGGACTTACAAAATGTCCAACTTCAAAACAGTAGTAATCCTCCCCTCCCTTGCAAACATCTAAGCTTACTAGGTGTGTATATATTTAGAAGTTTGTTTGTCTGGAAGCACTCTTCATGTCCGCATTTCTGTTTTCAACTGTCCCCAATTTTTCCATTCTGGACATCTCAGCAATTATCTCTTGCTGAGACTGACCTGAAACTAGGAATTCATGTTCCTAATGGATATACTTGGACCATCAAAAATGCAGGACTAGACCATCCACACAAAAAAAAAAAAGGTCTGTCTTTACATTTCAACAACAAAGAAATGCAAATCCCACTTTTAAGTATTAAAAGATGATAATAAAAGCACTTCCTGGGTTTTACATCCAACAGATACTGCACAAAATGCATAAACCACCCACCCCCCCAAATACTCTGCTATCCATTGACTTCATTACATGAATTTTGCCATGACAGGCTTTCCAAGCCCATTCCTGATTGGTTGCTTTTCATGGCTTGGAAACCAAATTATACCTATATGACTAAGTTTAGCCTTAGATGGTATTCCATTTATTCCCTGAAGCACCATATGGTGGATTCTTCATTTTTAAAATGGTTTACCACATGTTATATTTTAATCTGATGCAGTACATATGTGACTAATTCTCATGACCTTTTGGAATGACACCCTGCTATAAGACTGGACTCTTCATAAAAAAGTTTTGTATATTGTTTTTGCAAGGTACATGAAAGAGACTAAGCTCCCAATTACCCATTCATTTGTTATGCTAATTATTGTTATCCAATTTAAATAAATAATGATTCGATAAAATGCCAGTGTAAACCAGGTGTCCTGAAAGCAGCAGAATTAATAGCCCAAATTCCTGTAATACCCAAAGTCCTGCCTACATCCTCACACCTTTTTAACCATACAATTAGTGTCCCTCCATACTTCCTAAATATTCTTTACTTACTGTGAGTACTCTCGTGGATCTTTCACGTGCAGTAGCCTTAGCTACTTCCAAATCACCCATGACGCTCTCATCCTACTCATCCTACTGCCAAGCTCCCAAGAGTTTCAAAAGACGGTACTTCGTTCAGAGGTAAGGATTTACTGACAACAAATGCACGTTGGCTGGCCAACAACTGGTAGGAGCAGAGGCCTCCTGCTTTTCCTACTAACCATGTAATCCCCTGGAAGCATCCAACCCTTTACTGAAGTCTGAAAATGGACGGTTGGTTCATAAGGCATTAGGGAGAGACTAACAGACTGATCATGTAAACTTCATTTTCCCTGGAAACCTCGTTAACAGAAAAGTTAATTCTTAGAATGCAATTGCAAATAAACAAATTTAAAAGTTATTATGACACAAATTCACAAAAAATATAGGATTAGGGAAGAGGTATTTTTACAAGTGTACACAAGACACTCACTTCAGACTACTACTGTCTTCATTTTCCCTTCTCACACCTAGTAATAAAGATGCAAATACATTTTTCCATTGTGTGCTGAAACCATCCCTTTCCATGTCTCCCATAAAAAAATAAAGCTTGCCAACATGCTTTTTCATATGCAAGATTAAAAGTCTTCACAGATGTCTGCCCACAACCTATCTCACAAGGTAGCTGAAAATCCAAGAATTCCTGGTTTTGCTTTGCAGTGGTGTGCAATTTTGGATGAATAAGCTACTGCTGTACTTTTAAATCCAAAAGAGTGGTACAGGAACTTTACAGGCAGCTTTTTCACAACATGCCAAAGGGCAGGGCATGTTAGCTACTCAAGTGTCAATGTCCAAATGCTACAAACTCCAGTGCAGTAAAATCAGCCAATTATTCAACTCTAACAGAAATTTTCTAAATTTACATAAAATAACCCAATTCCAATTACCAAATTTAGTATGTAGACAGCTACATCACCGGCACAAAATATGACTTCTCAACATGCATTTTGATCATTATTTACACAAGTAGCATGAAATTTTAATCATCAGTCATATACTGCTATGCAGTATTAACTATACTTTTAAACTACAGCTCTTAGAATCCATGTATACATATTGTAAACATCTTCAAGGACAAAGAGGATGATAATAACGCATTTTTGCCTAGAAGAACAGGATAGTCCCTATTCTGAAAGATACTTAAATTTTCAAGTCAGCAAAATGGGAAGCGCTGAACTCCTCTATGGAAAGAGATGTTTCCTATCACACTGCTGAGGATGACACTTTTTATCATTTCCTCAGCAGCTTCATAAAACACCTTATGGGTAAGACTACATTAGTCTGATAATTACACTACATACAGATCCTCTAAATTCTCTTCCTTTTTTATGGCATCATAAAAAGTCTCTCCAAAAGACCAAATGCCTTCTCTTTCAGACCTCAGTGTCATTCACTATGCCACATAACTGAGGGACAATGACACATCTCAGATGCAGTCCCATTTTTCCTGTCACAGTAAATCTAGGGAAAAGTTAATTTTTTTAGATTATTATGGAATACCTATTCTCATCCTTCCAAAACAATGACATTTTCAATAGATGGGAGCTACCAAAACTAATTATTAAGTGTATTGTCTTGCCACAAAGCTCTCAATAAACTGACATTTAGTGGGCCATACATAAGAAACTACACACCAGAGGGAACTTGGCTTTTCTGTATCTCCATGAAGCAATCCATTTCTAAGCCAGCTTCTGAAGTGTAAAATACTATAACATTCTGATACAAACCTGCCACTTTATACCATTAGTAAAATGCAAACAGTTTAGGGGTTTTACAAAGACAATTCTTGCGTTTGTGGAAGAAAACAGTTCTGTGGATGATCATTTTTATAACTTAACTCTTACCTTGAGATGGCTGTACACTATGAAATTCAAGTTCAGAAAAGCCAAAGGTAATGCAGTCAATACTGCCATGAACAAATCTC